GGGGGGGTGTTGACTGATTTCTCCTTCCCTAGAGGGATTAAGAGAAGGAGGCTAACTTGGACCCAAGGAACAGAGAATGAAAAGTCTAAGCTTTGGGTGTGAGAAGGAAAGAAGAGTCACATGAAATATGAGGGACATGGACAGTGGGGAAGGGGAGAGCCCAGGACTCAGGGTCACAGTGTGACTCACCCTCCCCAGCCCTTCCCCTTACACTAAGTCTGAGTGAAATCCTACCCAGGCAGCAAATGAGTTTTTATAGGGGCTCATGGGGCCTAAATCAGCCTCAGCTAGAAGCAGCCTGATGGAGCCACCTTTCTGTCCCACCCCCATTCAACCAGGCTTGGTACCTCTCTGAACACCATCTGGGCCTGAAAATGCACAAGGACAAATCCCAGAACCTGGCTCGGTACCCTAAACCCACAGGGGTGAGGATGAGCACCAATACAGGGCAGGGGGAGTGAGAAGCAGTTACTACTCCGAGAGGCAGGGACCTCCAGAGAGAGGGTGAGGCCCTGCGAGGTCTGGCTAGGTCAGAGGGGCTGAGACCAGGCCTGACTATGGACAGCAGCTTCGGGAAGCCAAGAGATTCCTGAGCTTAGAGGAGTGCTTCAGAGAGCGTGGACTGGCCTCAGCCAAACTCTACACTCTTCTAGGGCAGGACGAAACTGCCTCTTGGGGCCAGTGTGGGTAAGAGAGAAGAGGTAGAAGATATCCCTTTATTTTGCCCAGAAGTAGGCCAGATGTTTATTCTGAAACCCTTCTATAGAAGTAATAAATATTTTAAAAACAAAACAAAAACCCAACCCTGCAAAAAAGAGGGACCCAGCCTCCCAGGGCTCAGAAGTAAGTCATGCCCCTTAAGATCAGGGCAGGAGGGAGGAAGGAAGGTGGCTCCTATAACTCTCAGCAGTAAGGCCACCCTCTGGACTCTCCGTTCATGCAGAGGGCCAGGAATGGAGCCTAGGCTAGGGAAGAAACTCTAAGGGGGCGAGTGACAGTTTTGAATTTAGGCGGGATTCTGAGTCTATATAGGAAAAGAGAGACGCTAAATGTGAGGCCAGAAGGGCTGACCCCAGAGAGGAGGGGTCTGCCCTGCCACCCAGTGTGGGACAGGACCACGCCACAGGGTTTCTACACGGCCTGGGGGAGTGTGTCTTTCCAATGGGCCACCTCCCTACGCCTGGGGGTCACCCTTACCATGGAACCCTCAAGTGACCAGTTTGTCCTGGAGACTAGAGGTAGTATCCTGGGCAGGGGGTTTCACAAGGGAGGACCCCTCTCTCCACCCAATAAAAATGATTGAAATAAAACAGTGTCTGCTGGGTTACAGTGAAGAGATTGGGCTGCAAATCAGCCCTTGGATGGTGGCTCCTTGCCAAGGTACAGCCACCCTGAGAAACCTTTTCCTGGTGCCAGCCTGGTGCCTCGTCTAATTCTATTTGCAATCAAAACAGGCATCTCCGGGCCTGGATGCCACCATCTGTACAAAGGGCTGGCCAGGTCATCTCTCTGGGACACTCCAGTCAGTCCAGGACTCCATGACGAATGAATGCCCTCTGGCTTGGCCCAGGCTGAGCGCACACAGAAGCCTGCTCTGCTCTGAGGCCAGCTGGCTGCGGATGGGGCATGTGGCACTGGGTGGTCCCTACCTCCACCTCACACTCATACTCAGAGGCATCGAGCAGAGTGACTCGGCAGATAGCACTCTTGTATTTCTTGGCAATCTTCTGGGGCGATTTCTGGGCCCTGCTGGGCGTGGTCCTCTCTGACAGGCCATCAGCCTCCCCGTTGTCCTTCTCGTCCATGTCTAGGCTCTGTAGGTCCAACCAGGAGAAGAGTTTGGTCAGCGAGCTTGAAATCATAGCCTTTCACCCAAATGAGCTGCAACAAGGGGGCAGCTGGGCCTGTGATGGACCCCAAAACAAGAGCCACTGCCATCTAAGGCCCCTGGGGTGACCAGAGTCTGTGGGGGTAGTGCAGGAGGAGAGCCAGAGCTTCCATGTGCAACAGGGTGACTCAGCGAGGGGTCCTCTGCTTTCCCGCAGGCTCCTGCTGCTGTGGCAGCCTCTGTAGGCGGGAGCATCCCACAAAACCACCCCCAGTGGCCAGAGCTGTCCTGTCTCCCCTGAATAGTGCATGAGTTATAAGAATATCCATCTGGTCTCCTCCTTCCTGGTCTGTCACTGGGTCTAGCATGAGGTTTGGGACTTGTGGACTAATTTAATGGAGGGAAGGGAGGCCTGAGCCCTGCCCTCTTGTCCTAACTCTACCATTGACACCCTCACTGACCTGTGCCAAGTCCCTGCCCTTTCTGGGCCTATCGTGATTTAAGGAAGGAGTGAAGTCAATGACTAGGTGATTCCTTGAGTCCCTTGTAGCTTCAGGGTGATAAATTTGGGGCCACCCTGGGCTGGCGAAGCTAGAATGGACAGGCTCAGGGGGTAGGAAATGAGGTTGAAAGAACATGTGTTTTTGACACCAGATCTAGATTCAACTTCCACATCTGTCACTTTAGAGCAATGTGACTTTGGGTAACTCACTTTATCCTGCTGAGCCTCAATCTCCCCAAGTGTAAAATGGGAAATTAATAGCTACTCTCTTAGGTGTGGGAGAATTAAATATAAAAACGATACTGTGCTCAGCATGTAACTGGTCAGTAATAAATCTTCATTTCTTCCTCTCCTCCTTCCTAAGCACTTGCCCCAGAGGACAGGCTGGGCAGGAAGAGGGATGCCCATGCTCTCGGGCACACACCTGTTCAGCAGGCCGAGTCTCCTGCTGGGGCGGTTGCTTTTCATTGGAGTTGGCCTCTGGGTGGCCGTGGCCTGCAGGGGTCACTGGGGTGGTCACAGCAGCAGCAGCGGCGGCCTCAGGCTGCTGTGGGGCCTCTTCCTGAGCCTTCTTCACCTCAGAATCCGGGCCTGTCTCTGTTGTCATGGTGACCAGCACGCCTGCATTGGCATGAAGAAGAACATGTGACGACGGGGAAAGGGGCAGTGATAGTATGACATAACAGAGTGAGCGGGGCAGGAACCACATGCAGAGAGAGACAGATGGAGACAAATGGATAAAGAGCCACAGAGAGAGGGAGGAGGGAGGGAGGGACAGGAAGTAGGGATGGGGAGAGAGTCATGAGAAGTGAGGGGTTAGTGGGGACAACCGAGGTCACAGACTCCTCCCTCCCAACCTTTTGTACAAACAGCTCTTCAGGGACTCTGATATCTTGTCCCAGGTCTGGAATGTGGACCCTTCCGAGGGATGATGTGAGTCTCTCTAGGGAGCCCCACTCTGCCCAGAGCACAAGGCAGGACCTCAGCTAGGCTGTCTGTCCAACAACAGCAGGCCGAGTGTCCCACTAGGATACTGGCACACAGTAACCCCTCACTAAAGGCTGGATAAGCTGAACTCAATCAAAAGAGCCCTAGGCTCCAGACCCTCCCAGCGCTGACTGTGGGCGAGGCTCTTCATGCACCAAGCCTTGTCAATAATTCCTGCCCCATTGACTTCACAGGGATGTTGTCAGGATGGATCTACAGGGTAAGACAGAAAGGCATTCTTAACAAACGCATAGCCCTGCCGATGTAAGAGTCAGAAAAACTGGGTTCAGGCCCAGGTTGGCCACAAATGGGGCATTCAGTTTACCTCTCTAGGACTCACCCAAAAAAGCAAGGGACTTAGAGAAATTATCTGTTATATAAATTATATATAAATTAGCTATTCTTATCCTTTTCTTCTTGGAGCAAGAAATGAGATTTTAGAGAATCAAGGACCTATTGCCCAGGTATTCTGTGAAATAAGCACACTGCCAAGACAGAAAAGGAGAGAGAATGGCATGGTTCCACTTTATATTTAAAAAACAAAACAACAACCTCAACAATACATCATTGTGTTTGTGTACTTGTAGTAAAAGATCGGAAAGATCAATCAGCAAACTGTTAAGAGAGGTTAATAATTTTAAATATACTTTTTTTTTTTAACTCACAAGTTGGGTGTTTTGAGAAAGTACCTATTCTGACTCCAATCAGTTGATTCTCAAAGAAAAGTTTGGAACTAAAACCAGGGAACAGAGATATGGGCAGGAACCCTCACCCCTGATGTAGAGCCTTCCTCCAAATACACCTGACGCTTATGTGACACCTAGTGCCAACTCTGTGCCAGGATATAAACGAGAAAGATCGAGACTACACCTGGCAAATCCCTCCCTGACCCCATCTACCATGGGAGGCCTCTGATGGACAGACAGACAGACAGACAGGTGCTGGATCTACCCTAGGGTTCCTCCCTGACCCCATCCACTATGAGAGGTCCCTGATGAGCAGGAAGACAGACAGACAGACGCTGGATCTACCCTTCAACATCACAGCTACCTCCAGAGACACATACCCCTGCCCCACACTTGCTTTTTGCTTTTCAGTTTCTCTCCTTGTGTTCCTGTAGGGCACCAGCTCGGCCCAAACCGAAGGGCCCTGGACAGAAAGGCAGGACCCCTGAGCGCCCCACTAGGCCACGGGGGAGCTCTGGGGCCCTGGACAGATCACAAACATCCTCAAACCCCAACAAATGGGTAATGAGTAAAAAGCTTTGTAAGCTGGAGCTCATAGCACAAATGAGAGGGTTTGTTGTTACTGATGCTGCTATTAAAGTGGAAGATGAGGAGGAAGAGCAGGCCTTGGTCCAGAATGCCTCATCCTCGCCCAGAGAAGCTTCCCACTTACATCATTACCCTGGGCTTTACGGGATCACTTAAAGCCGTAGGAAAATAAAGGCTCTCTGTCACTTGGGTGACACCAAGTGCTGACTGTGCAGGACACAAAGCAACAAGAGCTGCTCCAGGGAGCTCACCGCCCAAACAGACCTGCCCGCCTGGCTCGGGATCTCAGCCTGCGCTGGAGGATGTCGGCCACTATGCTAGATAAGGCCTAGAGGGAAGAACCCTCAACATACATGCCTACTTAATTTTGCTTTAAAACACACACACACACACACAAAAGAACCCACAGACTAATCTGTACGTTTCTGCTGTAAGAAGCAGAATCCACACGACCCTCACGGGCCCAGGCATCCCAGTGGCCCTGGTGCATCAGCTCCTCCCCTCTGCTTCAGGCTGGCTTCAGCCCACACTCTCTGAACCTTCCCTGGCCTGGTCTTCTTGCGGACAGCCAGGAGAGCAATCTTAAATAAATACCCCAGTCTTCCTCTGTCCGGGTCTTTAGCAGAGCCTGCTGGCAGAGAAGACCTGGTGCTGGCAGAACCACAGAGGAGGGGCACTGGAAGTCATTCAAGATAATTCCATCTCCTCTCTTTTACAGATGATTCCCAGAGAGCGAAAGAGACTTGAGTGACAGTCATTTCCTCAGACAGGTTTTCCCTAACCCTCCCACCCACTCTCCTCCCCACTCAGCCTCCTGATTCCCCAACCCTAGCTGCTTCAAGCAAACCTCAACAGAAGCTCCTTGAAGGAGAAAACACTCAGGTCCAAGGAGGTGGCATAAGCCAGCCATGAGCACTGTGGCCAGGGGCTGGTTAGATAAATGATGGCTCATCCACTTAGAGAGTTTAAAAAGATGACGGAGAATATCTGAATGAAAAAGCATGATACATAACAGTTTGCACAGATGGACCCTATTTTGATTAATATTTATACACAGATACAGAAAACTCAGCAAAGTGTTAACTTTGGTTGTTTTTAGAGAGTACAGATGATTATTTTCTCTTCTTTCTGCTTAACAGAGTTCTCAGTTTTTCTACTATACTTGGAGATTTCTTGATTTAAAAGGATTAGAGGTTGCCCAGTCAGTGTGGCTAAATGGTTGAGCATCGACCTATGAACCAGGAGGTCATGGTTGGATTCCCAGTCAGGGGCATACAGGGGTTGTGGACTCAATCCCCAGTAGAGGGCATGCAGGAGGCAGCCAATCAAAAATTCTCCCTCATTATTGATGTTTCTATCTCTTTTTCCCTTTCCCTTTCCCTTCCTCTCTCTGAAATCAAGAAAAACATTTTAAGAAAAGAAGTAAAAGTCTTAAAAATAAAATAAATAAAAGCATTAGAGGTTAAAATTAATTTTTTCAAAGCACATGGTTTGGTATGACAGAATGAGAAGGACAAAAAGTCTGCTCAAACTTTAAAAAGAATTTACTAATTAAAAAAGAAAAATAACATTAAAATTAAAAATAAAACCTATAGTAAGATTCTTCTTTATTTTATAAGTCCAGGGATAATGGCATGGTTCTCTCACCAGGCCATGGAAAACGAGCCAAGAACCTGGCCGTGGCTTCTGCTACAGCCAGTCACGTGGGCACAGTTCTGCCCGGGCCCAGGCCAGCACAGGCTGACGGAGCCCACTGGCAGCCAGGCTGGCCGGGCACCACAGGGGACCCTGGGAAGCATGTGCTGGTTCCTACGGCGCTCACTACATGGGAGGAAGATGCTCACTCAGGAAACGGTTAAACACCAGGCATGTGACTTAGATTTGCTAGTGTATGTTTCAGCTCCCAGAAGATTCTGGAGATTTGGTGATAGGGAATGGGAACATGGCCTAGAGTTCTCAACGAAGGGCTTATAGGGTAGGGAATGGAGGGTGAGGCGGAGTCGGGTTTTGAGAAAAGGGAGAATGTAGACAGGAGACGGCCGGGGGGGTGTTTTGGCTGAATCGTCATGTGAGCAAATGCCCAGAGATGGGAACAGGTAGTGCTGTGCAGGAAACAGACAGGTGGCCTTGACATCCTGACTCCTCAGAACAAGCCTATAAATGTGAGCTTCAAGCAGCCTGGCAGGAGGAACAGGTGGAGTCAGGAGAAGTGAAGGAGCTGGGGGTGGTGCAGGCAGCCTTTCAGGAGTCAGACGTGTGACCACTGGGAGGGGCAAGGCCCCCATCACTACATGCTGCTTCAGGCCAGGGCAGGCCAGGGTCAGGGACTTCACAGTCATCTCAGTGACCCTTCACAGGGCAGCAGGGCAGGGGAGACCTAGACCCAAAGTCTGGGTCTAGAACTACCTCTATCTGTGTGTGACCTTAAGCAAGTGACTTCACTTCTCTGAGTCTAGGTGGCTTTGTCTAAAAAACAGAGCTATGCCTCCTTCCCTCTCAGGGTGGTGATAGAGATTCAGGAAAATAATACCGAGAGAGAGCTTAGCACGGTTTGCACCCAACAAAACGACCCTGAGATGGTCTATAATTACAAGTGGTAATGGGAAGCCACAGTAGGGAGTGGTCTGAGAACCAGGAGTTCAGAAGTGCCCACCCAGAATGGATGCAGAAAGACGTTCTAAGAGACACAGGCCAGCAAGGCCTGACTGATGACACTAAATATGAAATCCAATATGCATGGGATTAGCAAAGGGGGATGGGGGTCAGCCAGAGAAGTAAATGCTGACGGTGCCTACACCCGCCCTGTCTGGAGGAGTGGAGCCCAGTGAGGCCCAAGAAGCTCACTTGGTGGGTCTGGGGCCAGACTTGCAGGCTGTCAGCATCTAATGCTCTTCAACACTGCAACCACCTGCTGGCTCCTCCTCCAGGGGCACTAAGCAGCCTTCCCACACTGTGGCTTTCCATCTGGGTGGCCTTCTGGGAGAGGGCGTCCTAGCCCAGCCGAGGCAATATCCACTTGGCCTGCTGTTGTGCCACTCATTAAAATGAATCAACAGATTTATACATCAGGCCCTCCAACCTGAGTTAGCATGAGTCAGCATCCCTGAGTCCAGGAACTTGGATTTGTTCTTTTTCTTTATTCCCACAGCCACTGCTCAGGTGCAAGCTACTCTAACTCATCCTGCATGGCTTCCCCAGCCTCCCCTATGGACTTCCTGTAGCCACTTGGGCCTTCCTAGGGTTTATTCTCCACAGAGGAGCCACAAGGACCTTTTCAAAACTCCAATTGGATGCCCTCTTTAAAACCTCCAATGACTTCCCATCAAAAGAAAACACAAACTCTTTATCAAGGCTACATATGGCCCCTGCATCAGCTTCCACTGCTGCCCATACCATCACTGTGAGCCCTGCCATACTGGTTTTCCATCTGCTCCTCAACCACACCAAGCTTGCCTCTACTGTGGGGTTTTGCCCTTAAATGGTACCTTGGTATAGACAGTGGGTGTGTCCCCTGTATCTTGGCCATGGCAGCTCTTACCCTTCAGATCTCAGTCTATGTACCCCTTGACCACTCTGTCTAAAATGGATCCCTCCCCCTAGTTTTTTTGGTTACAG